CTTCTTGGTGTCATGGTCCAACGACAGCAACAGATGTAGAACTGAGAAGGACCTCAGAGGTCTCTTATCTAGTCCAATTCTTTTATTTTGTAGATAAAGAAAGGGAGGCCAAAGAGGTTAAGTTATTTGACCAAGGTCACAAAGGCAGAGAGTGTCAGAGGTGCAATTTGAACGTAGGGGATTTGGCTCTAAAGCCAGTGTTCTTTATCTAATACTCAGCTGGCTTTCTTGTCTTGCCTTCTTTCTGTCTGAATGCCTTTGCCCATATCATTCCCCCAGCCCTGGAATGGACTTCTCCATTTCCACCTGTTAAAATCCTTTCCTTCCTTCAAGGTCCAAAAAAAGTGATGGCTGCTCCATGAAACATGCTCTGACCACTTCCAAGGAATGTGATCTCCCCATTCTCAGATTTCTCATTGCCCTTTGCCTTGACTTTTTCCATTTTCCGTTTATCATAAGATCATAGATTTGTAATTGGAAGGGACCTTTGAGATCATCTTATCTAACCTCTGTCATTGTACAGATGTGGAAACTGAGGCTCAGAGGTGAAATGATTTCCTCAAGGTCAAACAGTAATAAATCTCAGAGTCAGGATTTGAACCCAGGTCCTTTGACTTCAAATCTAGCAGTCTTTCTACTCTACCACACATTCATTACACTCTCCCTTATATCTTGATTATTTGTGTATCTACTTCTCTCCCTATTAGAGCACAAGGTCAGGGAAGAAGAGAGTAGAAAAAAACATTTTTATGGGGGGGAAGAGCAAGGGACCACCCACGGTTTGTTGTATCGTCCCAAAGTACTAAGTTATTTAGCTCTGAGCTAGAACATGTGGCATGTGAAAAAAATACATATGCATTCTTGATCCTGGCATTCTAGACTCTCTACTCTCTGACTTTACTTACCTTTCTACTCCTTCCTCTACTTTGTAGTTCAGCCATACTGGCCTATTCAAAATGCCCTTTTCTTAAGAACATAGACCTTAGCTTAAAAAGGTCAAGGTTTCCCATTGCATCCAGGGTCATCTCCAGTGGAAGTGCCCCAGGGCCTGAGTCACCTGTTTGCCCCTAGTACACTATGATAGATTACGTTTAGTTTGTATTTTTAATTATTTATTTTATTTTTAATTTGAGGAATAAAACAAGCATTTCCATAATATAGTGTAATAAATAAAAGATGATTGCACATGAAACTGCAAATCTATTATGTACAACTTGCTATTCCTTTTACCTACATAATAAAATTATGTAAATTTCCTTTTTTTTCCTTCCCTCCCCTCTGCCCTAGGAGTAGCTACCATTAGACACAAATACGTATACATATGTAAAATCATTTGATACATAATTCTATTTATCAGTTCTTTCTCTGGATACAGATAGCGTCTTCCTTCATATGTCCTTTGTAGTTATAATATCCTAATTAGATAATGCTCTAAGAACTCTTCTAATGCCTCATCCTGGCATTGAGCTGACCCTGAGTTTTCAAAGGTAAACTCTGGAATGTCATACCAAGCTGGAAAGTATTTTTGGGCAAGTCCACTGATAAAGCCTGTGTCTGTGCCTGAACACCAGCCCAGCAGCTAAGTTCACAAAGATTCATCACCATAATGCCTCATGTGTTCTAGGTCAGATCTAAATGACATAGTACTTTGGGACAATACAGCAAACCCTGAGTGGTCCCTTGCTCTTCTCTTCCTCCCTATTCCTCCTTTCCTTGCAACTTTTTTTTTCATCTCTCTCTCATTCCTTCCCTGCTTCCAATGATCTTATGCTCTAATAGAGAGAGAAGCATGTAAACAAATAATCATTATATAAGGGAGAGTATAACGAATGTGTGGTAGAGTAGAAAGTAAAGTAGAAATGTGTGTTTGATTTGGGGTCAGTCAGAGGATCTGGGTTTAAATACTGACTCTGTTATTTGTTACGTATTTGACCTTGGGCAAGTCACCTCATCTGTACATCGATGGGGTGAGACTACATAACTTCAAAGGCCCCTTCCAATTCTAAATCTGTGATCTTCTGATAAATGGAAAGTGGAAAAATGTAAGGCAAATGTAATGAGATCCAGGGGATGCTTTTTTGATCCTTACTCCCTAATTCCTCAACTCACAAAAAACATCTATAAAGGAGGAAAGGACTGGCAATACACTTCAGTAAATGGAGTGCTTGTGCAGACAAAATCAGAGACCCATGAAGGATTGAAGAATGTGTTACATACATAATCTTATTTGAGTTTGAGCATAGTTCTGGGAAGGAGACAGGGCAGATGTTATTATTATCCCCATTTTACAGATGAAGGCAGTGAGGTTCTGAGAGGTACAATCACTCACTCATAGATGTCCTACCAGAAGTAGCAGAGAAAAGTCTCTGGCTCAGGTCTTTTCAGTTCCATTTTACTGCCCTTTCCTGACTTTTGGAATGCAGACATCTAAGGTCCCTTCCATCTCTAAATCATCATCTAAGTCTGGTTTTCTTCAAGGCTTAGCTCCAACTGGACATTCTGCATAAAGCCATTCACAGCCCTACCCCCACCTCCCCTTTCCCAAGGTTACCTTCAGTCTACTCTGTATGTATCTTGTATGGACCTAATGTTCGTTTTTAAATGCATAAAATAAAATATATGGGATTACAACAAGCAAAAATGTAAGAACCCTGAGGTCAGGGACTATTTTTGCCTTTCATCATATCCCTTTCACTTAGCATAGTGCCTGGCATATAGTCTGAGCTGAAAAAAGATTTGTTGATTGATTGATAGATGCTGATGACAATTTCCTCCAATGTAAGATGTGTATGTGTGTGGATGTATGCAAATGTGTCACTGCTTCGAAAGCTGGGGTTCATGAACTTTTAAAAAAATGTTATGATAACTGCATTTCAATATGGTTTCCTTTGTAACCTTATATATTTTATTTTATGTATTTCAAAACATGATTCTGAAAAGGGGTCCATAGGCTTCATCAGACTCTTGGTCTGTGATTCCAAAAATGTTAAGAACCCCTGCACCAAGGCAGTATTTCCAACCATGTCAGCATTTCCTTCCAATCGTGTGGATTCATGTGACAGTGATTTTCCATATCATGACACCCTCAAACTCCCCCAGATTATTTAAATTAAAATTATTCCAAGAGGAATAAATTTAGACAATCTATCTTTATTTTTAAAGAGAAAAAGAACTCAGAATACTTTTTTTTCCCCTTGCCTGGTAACAATAATCATCTTGTCAATTATTGTGAGAGCCATTTAATGAAGGAAACCTTAACCTCCCCAAACTAATAATCCACCCTCTGCAGGTTATCACTGAACTATTCATAAACTGGGATCAAAAATCCAACCAAACTACCCTCAAGAGGAGACTGAACAGCAAGATATTTATTACATGGGAGCTAACCCTGTAATGGAAGGAAAGCCCCATTAACTGAGGAATCCTGGTGCCTCGGTATGCTTGAGAACATCTCTCCTTGGAAACATCAGGGGGCAGTTCAGCTCAGCTACTTCTCAATAGCTCTTCCTGACATTACACCATTCATTGGGGAATATTAACCCGTAGGGCGACAGGCCTGAAGCATCTTGGTGCCCCAGCCCTTCCGGAGCTCTCCATGGGATCTGCACTCCCAGCCACAGCTGCCAAATGTCCCCTTTGCAATCCTGAGCTACTTAACTGTACCACCCCTGCTAGTGACAATGAAACTTGCCTTGAGGCACTGAGTGGGTTGAGTGTCATACCTTTCCCTGCTCCGATGCAGATAAATATATTCAATTAGTGCAATGGATTGGAATGAGGGAATGTTAGAGCTAGAAAGGGCCTTTGGAAATTAAATTGGATAACAACGTGTTTTGGGGAGGCCCATAACTGTGATTTAATTGATGTACTGTTGATTACTACTCAGCAACCTATAGGCTTCTGTTGTTTGGGCTCATCCTGGGGCCTTATCTTGAAAACCAGCATGGAGATATTGAGTCTTTGGACTCAGAAGACCTGGATTCACAGCTGGTATGTGTCACAAGCAGGATGTGAATCTGGGTGTTCCTGCCTCCAAAGACTGGCTCTCTCCATTGTTTCTTAATATAGGGCCATGTTACCCTGCTTGCACAGATCTCAAAGGATCACAGATTTATAGCTGGAAGGAACTTTAGAGGCCATTAAATCCAACTCCCACCCTATTTAGGTGAGGGAAATGAGACAGACAAAGTTTAAATGACTTACTCAGGATTTCATAGCTAACGAGGATCTGAGGCAAGATTTGAACTCATATCTTCCTCACCCATAGACTCTTAGCTCTCCAATGAAGGAAAGGAGGTGCATTCTTTCACCTTGTCTTCTGGGACAGGTTTGGTTATTTTTTAAGAGTATCTGCCTCCCTTGCTATTTATTTCCTCAGTGTGGCCAGCAGGTGGGTAGGATGGAGAGTCTAAATCAGAAGGATAGGGTCTTCTTTGGATCTCACTCCACAAAGCTGGACTTCTGTGCTCTCTCAAGCTGACTCTCATATCATGCTCCCCTCCCCCAGTCTCTTCTTCTTAGGACCAACCAAAGTGCTGGAGGAATAAAGGTCCCAGTTTTTCACCCTGCTCAAAGCTCATCCCGGCAGATCAAGCTGTCAGGCACTGAATAATTTCTAGAGCAATCCACCTCCCTCCATCATTAAGCTCTCATTATAGTGGCATGGCTCAAGATGTACCTTTAAGAGAAAAATCCATTAGACAACAATTCTATTTAGACCAACAGCCTGAATTTGGTGGCTGAGGTCATCGGATTCCCTAGAAGGGCAATGAAGGGAAGATGAATTCCCCAAGAAACAGAGCATTCACTGATCCCTCCTGAGGGACCAGGCTAAGTCCAATCATGTCTCAGAAGATGAGATCAGCTGGGCTATTGGATCCTAGGTATTTTCTTTTCTTTTTTAAGTTCGTGCTGGCTCAGACCTATTAAGCAGGTATAAAAGTGGCTGGCCAGCTGCTGTTAGACAGGCACTGTCTTCCAGTTTGGTCTCTGGTAGGTACCTGAAGCAGGGTTGATGGGGCGGGTGAGGTGGGGCGAGGGTGAATATGGGCAACTCTTTAGCACCAACTGTCCTAAAGTGAGATAGGAAGCCAACCTGAGGGAAGTCTATGCAAGAAGAGTGGAGAATACAGAACAGAACTTGGCAGCTATGAGCTGATCACTGTAGGAAGGCAGGGTGTAGACCAGCCTTGGATGAAAAGAGGATGAGACCTATGTTGTGTAAGGTGTCCCTGAGTGCCCATTCTCTGTTGGATCATGCCGCAAGATGCAAGGGACTGGGGTAAAGAAAGGTAGAGTTAGCAATGAAGGCATGGTATGATACATTCCAGGAATGATTAAATGGATGAAAAAACGTTTATTAAGTGCTCCCTTTTTACAAAGCACTGGGAGTACAAACAAGAAAGCAAGAACACAAAAAAGATGGAGAGTCTGGAGTGGCCAAAGAGGCATTCCGTTACCCTTCCTTCATGACATTTCAGATGTAGACATGAAAGGGATTTCTGACCTCATTTTACAGATGAGGACCCTGAGGCTCAGGGAAATTGAGTGAGTTCACACAGGTAGTAGTAGGTAGAGGCAGCATTGGAACTCAGGCCCTTGGATTCCAGAGTCGGGGCTCTTTCCAAGGTATCCCTCAGGTAGGCAGCACTTTCACCAAGGTCCTTTGAATCAGAGTCAGTCTTGAAAAGTACAGACATTCTAATTAGAATGAATGGAGGAACGTTGGGATTTTTTTTGTTGCTGTTGGTCTATATGCATTAGAGTAATTAAAAACCTACTCATCCTCCAGTCTTATGCAATCATTTTGCTTTAATGATAGGTCTGATGACTTTTAATAGGGTTTACAGATACCTTTTCATGCGGGCTTGGGTCTCATGTCCTTCGTGATGTTATCTGCTGTGATGCTGAACCCGGGAAGGCCAGATTGCAAATTGGATAATGCAGTTAAGATATTAAGGGCAGTGAGGCCTGCCTTAGTGGAGTGATAAAAAGTTTAGGATAAATTGATGGCCTGGGCCCAGTTAGATGTGCTCTTGAAAGAGGCATGAAGAATATGAGGCCAGATTCATGCAGATGACTGTGGATACTTATCCCAAAGAATTATAAAAACAGCATACAAGGTGTGGGGGGGAAAGGAGGGGGAGAGAGAGAGACAGAGACAGATAGAGAGAGACAGGGAGAGGGACAGAGAGATGGAGAGAGAGAGAGAGAGAGGGAGAAAGAGAAGGGGGAGGGAAGGAGGGGGGAGGGAAAGAGAGAGAGAGACAGAGAGAGAACCTGTCAGATCAGCTGAGAAACAAAACCTATGGGCTAGAAGAGACCTAAGACATTGCCTTCTGTGGCCCCCTCTTTATTTTAAATTTTATCCCTTTTTTTTTCTTTTTTGGCTAGGCAATGGGGTTAAGTGACTTGCCCAGGGTCACACAGCTAGTAAGTGTTATGTGTCTGAGACTGGATTTGAACTCAGGTCCTCCTGCATCCAGGGCTGGTACTCTATTCACTGCACCACCTAGCTGTGCCCGACCCCCTCTTTTTACAGAGGAAATTGAGGTCCAGGGAGGAGAAGAGATCTGATTACCTCAAGGTATTGACAGACAGTACTAAAACCCAGGTTTCCTGCTGCCCATCCAATCCGGTGTTTCATGAGTCTGACTCATAGGATTAGATTTTTGGGGTCTGCAGAAGTAACTAGATTGTATCTTTGAGTTAGAAGCAACCTCAGGGATTGTCCAGCCTAGTCCCCCCTTTTTATAGAGTAATATCTAGGTCAGGGGTTCTCAGTCTGGGGTCGATAGATAATTGGATAGTTTTCAGGGTGCCCATGAGCTTGGGTAGAAAAAAAGTTACCTCATTATTTCAATATAATTGGTCTCCTTGGTAATCCTATGTATTTTATTTTTTACATTTAAAAATAGCCTTCTTAGAAGGTGCCTGTAGACTTCACCAGACTGCTCAAGAGGGTCTATGATAAAAAGATTAAGAACTTCTGGCCTACGTGTTATTTGGGAGAACAGCGAAGCTACTGAAAATGGGTGTGAGCTTCTCATAGATCTCATGGACAATATGACTGGCAGGTGACAGTCCCCTGCCATGGCACCAGAATAAAAGCAGGCTGATGATCTCTGATGGTCAGCATACATTGATCTTTTTGTTGCAATGGAATCCCTTGTATTTTTAAAGGCTTCATTCACCACCTCAAAAGCCACTCACTGGGTGAAGGCTAAATATTTCTCTAGAGGTTTTCAAAGTCCCAACCCTGAAGATAGAATTTATTTATTGTAGGAATGGAACCTGGTAAAAATGACCACTGTTTTTAGTTTTCACTCAGTGGGTTTGGAGGAAGCGAAGCCTTGGCCCCTAGGAGACGTCATCCCAATGAAGGGGTCAATGCGATGTTCATCTCAGGTCACCAAGCTGCTTTTATTCTAGTATACTTACTACCTCTGTACTGTATTGGCTCCCTCTGTTTCAGAAAGGGGTAGGAGATCTCAGAGATGTCCAAGATCTCAGGGCAAATCGAAGGTGTCAAAAGTATGGACTCAGACACAAGTCCCGGGTGGTGTTAAGTAGTCACAGAATGTTCGAGGTAGATAGTGCCTTAATAGATCAGTCAGTCCTTATTTTACAAAGGAAGTCACATGAGGATCAGAGAGACAAATTGACCCGTCCAACCCAGGGCCCGAGTGCAGGCTTTCTATCTTCTTGTTGTTCAGTCATTTCAGTCATGTCTGACTCTCCATGACCCAATTTGGGTTTTTCTTGGCAAAGATCCTGAAGTGGTTTGCCATTTTACAGATGAGGAAACTGAGGCAAACAGGGTTAAGTGACTTGCCCAGGGTCACACAGCTAGTAAGTGTCTGAGGTCAAATTGGAACTCAGGAAGATGAGTCTTCCTGATTCCAGGCCTGGTATTCTATACACTGTGCCACCTAGCTGCCTCTCCTATCTTCTGGTCATTTGATAAATGGGGCTTGAGGTGGGGAGGTGCTGGAGAATACATTGTTGCTTCTGCCACCCCTGCCAGCAATGTCCTCCTTCTCCTATTCTTTCTCTGTATGGAAACAACATTTTGTCAACCTTGGGAAGTTGGATTCATCTCATCAAAGGGCCTTTCACCAATTAATCCCAAGTCATTCCAAGTTAGTTAGGATTCTACAAGCTATGTCACAGTCCTGTGGAGTTAATTAGGCTGCTCCTTGCCTCAGTTTCCCCCATTGTAACATGACACATCCCTTCCCTAGGGAGAGGCTAACCCAGGGCCCACCATTAAGAAGTCTGTCTTTGAACTGAGACTTATATTTTGTCTTATTATGCTTCAGTTTCCCTGCTTCTAAAGTGAGATGTGCTGGACTGGCTGCCTGTCTAGAGAGGGGTAAATTTGTGAATTGACCTGTATCCAGGAAAGAAAAAAAGATTCTGTAATTCCACAACTCTAACATTACTGATTATTATTATTTTCTCACTTACATTTTATATTTTAATCACCTGATTGACAAGAAACAGAAATATTAGCAAGAATATGTCTTGCTTGTGGAAACCTCTCACTTTATGAGTCTATTGTAGATAATTTTGACTTCAATCTTTTATTTATTTGTCTATTCATTCACTCATTCCTTCACTTATTTATTTATTAATCTACCTACCTATCTGTCTGTCTGTCTGTCTGTCTGTCTATCTATCTATCTATGGGCAGACTAGTAATTTCATTGGCATAGGGAACTCTCTCCCATTGAGGATACTCCTACCAATATAGATAGATTACTGCTTTGCAATTTACAGTCCTGGAGACTTATCTAGGGCATTGGAAGGGCAAGTCATCAGCCTAAGATCACACAACTAGTATGTAACAGAGATAGATCTCATACTCAGACCTTCTTGACTCTGAAACAGGCCTTCTTTGTACTATGCAATTCTGCCTCCGGACTTCTAATTAACGTTTTGGATGATACAAACCAAAGCATGCTGCAGTGAGTTCAAAGGAACAGTCCCAAATTCTTAGATTTCATGGAATGTTGCTTTAAAAAACCTTCTCCGGCTCTTGGGAGTCCTAGTAAGATGGTGTGGTGGAGGGTCTGTGCAATCAGAAGACCCAGGTTCAGGGCCTGACTCTGCCATTTACTAAGAGTGTGGCCTTGGGAAGTTACTTAACCTTCACAGTGCAATGAAAAGAGGGCTGGATTTGTAGTTAGAAAACCTGGATTAAATCCCAGCCTTGTTCCTTACTAGCTGTGTGACTTTGGGAAAGTCATTTAACTTCTCTAGTTTTCAGTTTCCTAATGTGTAAAATGATCTTTAAGACCCCCCCTCACGTTTCTTTTGGTTTTTTGTTTGTTTTTTGATTCAGTCAGGGTTAAGTGACTTGCCCAGGGTCACACAGCTAGTAAATGTCTGAGGCCAGATTTGAACTCTGGTTCTCCTTACTCCAGGGCCGGTGCTCTACCCACTGAGCCACCTAGTTGCCCCCTTCAGTTTTTTAATGATGCTATAATCTCCCCCTACCCCAGCCCCAGGTTTCTTATCTGCAAAGGGGTACAGCGATGCTTGTAACGAAATGTTGTTATGAGGATCCAATGAGATTATGTCTATAAGATGTTTTGTAACCACAAATCACTATAGGATTTATTATTGATACTTAGAAATGTAGAGATTGTTCTTACAACCATGTCAATTATAATGGGATTAAATGTGTTGTTGAATCAGAGCAAACCATAAGCAGTCTGTTCATTTATATCAAAGATGGTGCCTGTGGCTGCCCCTAGAAGTCCTGGTCATACATTGGGAAGAAAGAAAGAAAGGGGAAATGGGAAAAAATGGGAAGCAGGAAAGTAGGAAATGCAGTGGGGGAGGTAAAGGGGAAGGAAGAGAAGAAAAAGGGTATATATGGTGGGAGTAATATGATACCACAGACTGGGGCAGCTAGTTGGATACAGTGGCAATACAGTGGATAGAGCACTGGCCCCAGAGTCGGGAAGACCTGAGTTCAAATCTGGCCTCAGACACTTAATAGGTGTGTGACCCTGGGCAACTCACTTAACCCCAGTTGCCTCCCCCCCAAAAAAGTAAAATAAAAAAGATGCCACAGACAACTACCAGTGTGGGAACAAGGGAGATCTGGGTTCAAATTCCATCTCAGCTTCCAGTGTGACCTTGGGCAAATCACTTTCCCCATACTAGGCCTCATTTCCTTCCTCTTTAAATTTCGGGGATTAGACTAGATGATTTCTGGAGTCCCTTCCAGCTCTGACATTCTGTGAAA